ACATGAGGTTTTAACAATAAGAATAAAAAAATAACTTTGTGAAAAAAAGGAAAAAAAAACGTGAAAGAGGAAGTATAGAAATAAAAAGGCAAAAAAAGAAAGTTGAAAAAGAAGTGCAAAGAAACCTCATGAAGACGTGGATCAAAGGTGAAGTCATATTTATCAGCACGAAGGGGCTGGCTCGAAGAGAGTGAAACCGGAAGCTCAACAATCTGTCGCCTAAAATAACAACGTTAATTTGCAAACACAGTTATTATAACTAGTCTATATAACTATTATAACTATATCACAAATAACTGCAACGTGAAAGAAAGTTTACAACTGAGGTCCTAGTCGCTGTGCGCCAATTTGTTTGTCAATAATTCTGTTGAAAACAGGGGCTACTGTTCAATTCCATTACGCATCCGTTTTCTTATCATTGGAGACTACCGAGCGATTCCAACCTCATCAACTACAGAAGGTTGCAAATTCAGGTCATTACTGCCATGACATCCAGATCACATATCGAAGAGGAGTCAAGCAGAAGCGCGGAAACAAATGGAGGTCGCTAATCTTTGGTACAAGGAAAACTCCACCGTCATTTAGTTTACGACTGCTAGGGGCTGTTTATTGGCCACATGCATTTGTCAGGGTTGCAGTGCTACTACAGACCTGACCCATGCATGTAGCTAATAAACAGCCCCTAGCAACTGTATATTGCATACTGCATTCGAAATAAGGTGGCTCAGACTATGTCGGTGTGCGGATTGCTAGGCCAGAGCGCTTTTCGCGGTGCAAAAAGTTGCTTTCTGTCCTAGCGACGGCCTCAATCACTGTACAAGTCCGTTTATGCAATGCGCTCAATGTACGGTCCACTGCAAATGCTACAGCATTTGATCCCTCAGCAGCAGTGAAAAAATGGGGTCTATTCCAGTTAGGGGGGGGGCATTGCGGTGCACAGTCTGCTCTAATGCCAGTTTGGCTCAAGGAGTCCTTTAAAGTTACGAGCTGCTATCAGCTTTTTTCCTACGTTGTTTCTTCTGGTTTTGTATAATGTATGTGTTCTTGTGCTTTGTAACATAAACGTCAATGAAAAGTAATATTTACCTAGTGATCAGTTAGGACTAAGCCTAGGAAGGGGGAGGAAATCCCTCCCCCGAGAAAGCGAAGATTGCTCACGAACCCGGGTTTTCCCTCCTTCTGAGGCTTAGTCCTAAGCATTCATGCTAACGGAATATATGTACTATCCGTGGTCTTAAGCTTGGCAAGCGCTCTAATCTGCATGACCCTCTAAGTGAAATAAACCCAAAAAATGCACCATAACTCTGATGAAAGAGCATCCAAGGTGAACCCTTCATTCGATGAAAAGGATCGCATAAATGCATGAGTACAAGGATCGATATCGTATTCGACATCCAGCAGCATTTCGATTTTATGCCCACCTCGATATATGTAGTGCGCTATTAAAGATTCATTGTAAAATTACTCTGAAGAAAAAAAGCTTACCGAGGAAAGGATAAGATGTGTTCTGTGGAAAAAATATAGAAATAACCACCTTACTATTATTGTTGATGTTGTTGTTGTCCAGTATTCTACTCCAAAGACATCAAGGATTATATGAATGTCTCACCTTACTAAATCTTGAAACGTCGGAGGAGAACAGGAAGCTGCAGACTTCGATCGTGGAGTAGGTCTTGCGATAGGAGAAGGGATAATTGGTTGCATCTGCGAAAATAAAGAACAATGAAAAAAGCTAACCTGTGTCAAAAAATACGAGAATACAAATCAAGTTATGTTCCTACCCCTTCCAGAAGTTCCTTCTGTTCTGCTACATGAGCGCTATTCCAAACGGTTGTTACAGGAGCATTCTTGCGCACATTAACCTGCTGCTCTTGAACAGAACCAATATCTTCTGTCTCCGGTGCGTCCTCTGATGCTACGCTTTGCTGAACATTCTTTGGGTACTGCTCCTTCGCTTTTCTCTGCTCGGCTGTCTTCGACCAACTTTCTGCATTCTTCTTGGACTCCTTTTGGACATCGTCCCTTTTATCTTAAAAATTGAACATAAGACACTTTCAAGGGAATTTATTCAGAATTGGTACAAAATGTGTTAGTTAAAGCTTACTCACATTACATGTTCATGTATAACCGACAATTCGCAGGCTTCCACCAACACACTACAGGGGCCGGGTGCAGCAAGCCCCCGCCAGGGGATGAGTCCCCAAATTTGCATCTCTGAACGCATGCCCCTATTCCTGATCACAAAGACTGAAGAGACGCGGAGTTTTGGGGACCCATCCCCCGGCCAGGATTTGCTGCACTCGACCCCAGACCGTTGTATTTTTGCATCATTTCAATAATTATTGATCATCAATGATTTCATCACAATAGTTACTCTGCTTCCGAGAATCAGGTGTGAGAATTAGTTGGTAAACTATAGTTGTAAATAATGATAACTAACAGAGTACAACTGCTAACGGCTAATCATTCATCGGCAGGGAATCGATGAATGATTTTCTGGACGCGTCGTCGCTTGTGTTGTATTGTCTGCACTCAACGAGCACCTGATTTTCGGAAACAAAGTATAGAAGCTTGGAGAACCAGCCGTAAAACGAGCATCTGCAAATCATCCGCTTGCATACAGCTGGAATACTATTCTACTTCAGGATGCCTAATTCGAAGCCAGGCCAAAACCACGACATTCTACAGAATTTGTGCACTGAAGATTTTGAAGAGGCTTGATTATGATTATTGCTTCCAACATACGCCATTTGCCAACACCGTTCCTTAGCAGTTTTCCCCTCCAGTTTTTGGTAGAACTACTAATTGGAGTTAATCAGGGTAGAATACTGATCAAATTTGTACCTATTTGCCATACAGAACACCACTTTTTTTTGAACTTGGAGTAATCAAGAATAAATGCTTTCCAGAGCAACACAGGAAAAGCTTTTGTAAAGATCCACCATCTTGGAACCACACCCTGCGTCTCCAGCTTTTGTCTGGAGACGCAGGGTGTGATTCCAAGAAAGAGGGGTACCGTCGCGCGGCAAAGCAGAGACGCAGGCAGGTCAGTGGACGAGTCGCAGCTCGTACCGTAGCAGTTTCGCGTGAGGGTAAATGGAATGTGGTATATTACGCCCCTCATCGCACAGCACGTGCTGGACTGACGTTCTCAGGACATCTGTCAACCGTGAGGCTTGGCGGTTCAGCGTTTTGTAGTGATGTCTGGGAGCTCTCACAAGTGCACACTATCACAGCATCTCCTCTTTCTTTATCTCCTTCAAAAGGCTTAGTCCCAATAAGACACAAAGTGTGTGCTTTTCCAGCTACGCTCTCACCCTTGGTTGACAGAAGCCTTGTAACCGTCCACTGACCCGTGCCATACAATTCTTCTCGCCGTGAGACGGGCCTTCTGCCAGGTACCCCGGAAAGAGGCTATAGGAGTGCAAAACAACGAAGGCCTACCTTTCTTCATATTGTTTTTGCGCGCTCTCTTGTTTGTTTGAGTACGTGTCTGGCGATCCTTTTCTCTTGCCTTACGCTTCTCTTCAGTCTCCACTTTGGCTTGCATCTCATGAGCTTTCTGCTTCTTCGCTCTCTTGTTTAGGACCTAGATAATCAGGTATTAAAAAAACGCTCTAAAATTTGGAGACTAAAGCTGAAACAATCAGTTCAGACCTCCTCAAATTCATCATCCATGTCTACACTAACAGCATCAACCAAGTGGTCGTCGATAACCACAACGCTTGCAATATTATTGATATCAAGACCCGCCAGACCGTCCGACACGTCCTGTTACAACACTGATCAACTATATGTGTTGAAGGCGACCACTTATATAACACTAGAATGGCGTTCATAACAAACACATACTTTCTCCATTCCTTGTACATCTCTCGATCTACTGCTGCTTTGCACATTGTTTTTGTTGTTGCAGCTTTCGGAGGGCGACGGGCACGTACGGCTGGCGGGTTGGACGTTTTTTGAACCACGAGGGCGCTCCACTGGTGTGGATCGAGTTTCAGGGTGTTCAGTCTGTGATGCATGTAGGGAAGCAGTACGAGAGGAAGGGTGATGAGCAGACGAAGAGTTTTGCGACATCGTAGACACAGTGCGATCACTGGAGTGTTTACCAGTCCTGACCCTGAAAAAGTGCTTAGCACGCTGGGACTTGAACGACTGTGACCAAATCGAAAGTACTATTGCATTAAAAATTTACGAACTCAGAATGATCTTCTCGTATGACACGTGTGCTACTCTCACTGGCCGTTTCCCATTCATCGTAGCCTTCACTGGAAACAACCGGACTGCGCAATTGATCGGCTCTCTCTTGCCCGATGGGCTTCACGAAACTTTTTGAGTGTTGATCGAACTAAAAAAAATGATGAATTACAACAACATCCCTCCCCCAGAATACGAACCAACTATTCCTCGCTGTACGGGTGGAAAAAGAAATTTGATTCCAAAAATGCTCAATATAAGTGGCAACTAAAATTTGAGTTGGCAACAGTACCTTTCGACGATTTCTTTGTTGCTGATAACTGTTTCTACCTCTAGTACTCTTGAGTTGACTAACATTTCCTGCATCTTCTCTGCGACCGTCAACCATTTTTGGAGCGCGCTGAGTGTACACCTCCTAAATGGAGACAAGTAGACAGCGGTGATGACGACAAATTTTCTTACTGTGGCACACTCAATGGAGAGTCATCCAGCCAAGAACATCCACCAACATCTTTTGCACGGATGAATTATCAAGCAACTTGCCAACTTGCATACAAAGAAAGGTTGATTAGTCATCGGCTCAAATAAAATGAGAAGTATATTTACACGTTCCGAAACGTTGAGTTCAAATCTACTTTTGTTATCTACAAAACGATTTCCTGGAAAGGAAAAAAGTTATGAAGCAGAAAAGAGCAGTGGTAGTGACCCTTACCTACAGGTAAGAGGTCGTGGGGTCGACTCCATGCGAGTCCATACTTTGGCTGTTTGCAGAAACATGTTGAAAGTCTTTCTAGTTACATTTCTGAGAAGAGCAAAAGCACTAACTAGCTCACACTGGAGTCGATCCCACGACCTTTTGCCTATGGGTCATTGCCCTTGAATTTATCTGCTTCACAACTTCTTTCAGGGAATCATTGCGCACTCCGCAGCTGTTACCTCAGCGTCTCGAGTCACGTATATGACCTCGTTTTCAAAAAACGAGAAGAGCGTCGGGTGCAGACCATACACCACAAGTGACGACGGCCTCCACAAAATGTAAATGTTTTCTGCCAATGAAATGATTAGCCTGTTGCAGTTGTATTCTATCAGTTGTCACTAATTACAACTATCATTTACCAAAAATCAGCTATCACTATGAACCACTACTAACCAGATTTACTTGGAGGCCGTCGTCAGTTGTGGTGTATGGTCTGCACCCGACACTTCTCGTTTTTTGAAAGGTAAGGTAAGTATACATATCATTTCAAATGACCGGATTGACCAATTGACAGATCCGTGTAAGTCCAACACTTCCAACTACAAAAAGTTACCAAACGACTGATTCTTTCCGAAGTTTATGCGAAGAAAATTACCATTCCTATCTTTATTTCTTAGCTCTGTTTGTGTACTATTCGCCAAAAGATTTTTTACGATCATATTGAATATTCAAGAGAGAATTTAGTTCCCAGCCAAATAGAGTTGCTAGTATGAACGCTAAGAAGTAGCGCGAATCGTCAAATCATTTCTCCAGGCCATCCTTGCAACCGGACAAACGAGAAATTTGAAATCAACGTAAAGTATAATATGATATGTTTCCAGGTGTTCCCCGTACTAGAGACGTTCGATTCTCTGCCGGGTATGGGTCGTTAGGACAAAAGCAACTTTTTAGCTTTATCGCAGCGCGGAACTTGGTCGCGGCGGGGACCCAGGGCCGCTCATGATCAAGGGTGGACCTGGGGTTCCCGCAGCGAAAAAGTTCCGCGCTGCGAGAAGCAAAAAAGTCGCTCCATGTCCGAACGACCCACACCAGTTCTCCTTCCACGCCAGGTCACCAGAGCTGTGCTATCGTTGGAGGTTAAGGCTAGGCTTAGGTTTAGGCGCGTGCTTACACATTGGTTCATACACCTAGGGTTTTTTCACCTGGGATTATTTTTCGGCTTCGGCTTGCTTTGAGTTAATCCGAGGTGTCCTTGTATGGGACAGAATCGTAGGTGTGAGCAATAACAAGATGAAGCACTACTACGTGGCGCGAACGAGCAACTTCAATTTCACCTGAAGGGCCTTTTGTCAGCTGACAACCTCGAAGAGTTCTTGTCTGAGAGAACAACATAGTAGAAGTGGGAGGCACTATTGCAACTGGTGTGCCGAGATAGGGTGAATAAAAAAAATCAAATCATTCAGAAGCATTGATTTCGGCCTAGAATTCTTCCTCCCAAGCCAGAGATATCAACCATACACACGAATTTGATTTTCAATAGATACGACAATTTACCTCATCAGGCACCACCGCAGCTTTGTGCTCAGCAGCTTTCGCGTTATTAGGCCAGCGACGCAGTATTTGTGGCTGAACGAATGCACCATTACGGTGACTTCGGGAAACCCCTCACACGTGTTGCGATCGTACGTAGAGTACCTGAAATGCAGCTTTCAAATAAGCAAAAATGTTGAGCGTTTTATTTTGCTCGAGGGCCCCCAATTTGTGGGCATTGACCGTATCCTATCCTTCCGCCAGACGGGGAACAAAGTGTCCCTTAAATCATTTAGTTTTCAAAGACCCGTTCCTTTTCCGCACATGCTTGGTTTTACACATACATACACATAACAAATATGTACTTCATCAGAGCGATTTTGATGAAGAGACGAAGGAAATTCCAAGGTATTTTTGTGTGTCTATGCAGAATAACTAGTTTGAATTTCATTTTTCAGAGGCTTCTGACAACAAAACACGCTCGTGGCCTTCTCCGATGATTCAACTGTCCTTGGACATCTATGCAAATAAAGGCGACTGAGTAGTTCACATCGTTTATTCTACGCTACAGTAATCGGCTACCACTCATTCAACCTGCAGACCAAGAAAGTTCACGCAACGTGTACGAGAATCCCCTTTTCTATGACCATGGCTCAACATGCCAAGCTTCATCCCTATGATTTCATTTTATAAGGAAAGGTCAATGAAGCGCCTTACGCGTGCACGACCACTACGAGGAGCCATGGGCAAATGGTACTAGGACTTTACCGTAAATTTAACTTACGGGCAATTTCAGCAAAGCACTGATGAATTAAGACATATGTCTTTTTGGAAATGCTGCGCACAAAATAAACGAGTGAAACCCGCAGGAAACCGATTCCGCCGGGTGTGGTTCGCTAGAACAGAAAGCGACTTTTTCGCATTTTGCAGCGTAAAGCAGTTTTCGCTGCGGGAACCTCAGGTCCACCGCTACCATGGTCTTCAGTTCCCGCAGCGAAGAATGTTTCGCGCTGCGATATGTGGAAAAGTCGCATCATATTCTAGCGAATAACACGCGGCAAGCCCTTGCTAACAGCCTACATCGCTATCGCTGCGTATTTTTTTCGGCTTTATTAGCGAGCCTATTGCAAGTGAATGATACGCCGTCTCTCACACGAATTAGACGCAACTCGGAATACAAGAATGAGTGATGTGTTGTTCTTGAGTGTGGTCGCCAATCATTGTCGTTTTTCGTTAAGGAAACGAGCAAGCAAGCGGGGCAACTGGTGGTTGGTGCTATACCGATGGGGATTAGAAAGAGTAGGGGAGAAACATGAGACCAAGTTTCTTTATATAGTATTCCGGCATTCCCTCGTTTCGTGTAGGCGACGGAATCACATCATTGTGTAAGGAAACTCGAACTATGTGATATCCGAAGTCACGTCTATACCTGTAAGCAGTAGGTGTCTGTCGGCAGCAGGTGGTAATTGTGAAGTTCCGTAATGAATCAATCCTCCTCAGGCGAGCGTGACCCTCACTCGGTTCACCTATTGGGGGCTTTGCTGGTGAGGTGACACTGTCCCACTGATGCCTCCGTAGGTTGCTTGGCTAGACAGCCCACTCTTCAACCTCAGAGAACCCTTGTCAAGCCGATCGAAACAACGGGTTTTATGCAGCAAACTTTATGAGATGATCACACGTGCCCTTCGAGCCACCGCGTCCTACTCGAGAGAATTCCATTTCCCAATGTGTACAATTTCTCCATGGCTCAGAGGGAACTACACATGCTACGGACTGATGGTCTACTGCAGTTTGATGGGTACTGGTACCGGGTTGCCTTCACGAAGCTCTTGCATGCGTTCAATATCTACGGCCACTGGGTGTCCAAAACATGGTCGGTCTTCAGGGTTATAGTCGCCCTGGCGAAGCTTCCGAACCACTTTCAATAGATATTCTCATTAGCGAGTCTGGTCCTCCAGATACACAAATATTCCGACAGGCTCCTTGCTGAGTGCCCCAGGCGGAACTCGTAAAATAGACAGTGACGAACATGTGTTGAAGAGGACGGCATTATTTCTCCCAAAAGACGAGTACTGACGGTCAAATTTCGTAATATGAAAGGACACTTAGGTCGCCACATACTGCTCTGCGGGGAACAACACAAACGTTTTCTGGGAAAAATGGCGTGGGTCTGAAGAAATCGGCAATTACTTATGACTCAGCCTAATAGAAAGAAAAGACAGACAGATTTATAAGAATGTCGTAAAAGCGCGGAAACTATTATCGAGGACGTGAAGTAGCACCATATTCATCGGTGGAGGGCGATAATCTGTATCACATACACCTTACAGGAGAAGGCTCCCAAGAAGAGCCTAGCGTTGAACAGCCCATCAGTGGAAAAAAGACCTTACAAGAAAGCAGGCCATTCACCAAGTCCTATTTTACCACTACTGTGCTAGTCGGAAACGGTTAACGTATGATCTGTACTATTAGACTAGTAAAAACACACCTGTTCCTTTAACAGGGGCGTCGTCTCGCACAGGATGAGCACTGCCTGTGTTATGCTGCTCTATGGCCGTTTCGACGGATATGCTATCTAGACTACGTCGAGAGTTTACATTAACGCCTGAAAAAAGTAAACGTATTACCAGATAGAAGCTTTCGCGATGATTTCTTGGAGCATACAAGGGAAAATATTGATATTTCAACGATCTCAGCAGAATGTACCTTTGTTCCAACGTTGCCCAGTTGAATCGTAGCTTTCACACTCATTTCCATCTCGCCTTCGAGCAACTCGTGGTAAACCATGCCACTGTGGCCCGTGCGTTGGTGGCTCCTTGCGCTGGTCCCGCTGGTCCCGCTGGTCTCGCTGGTCTCGCTGGTCTCGCTGGTCTCGCTGGTCTCGCTGGTCTCGCTGTTCTCGCTGGTCTCGCAGGTCTCGCACGGGCGGTTGCCGTTGGTATGTTGCTTCAGAAGGGAAAAGTTGTCGCACATCATTGCTACATTGTTGTCGCCTGACGCGTAGCGCGGTGCGGATAAAGTCAGAGTTCGAAGGAAGTCGACCAGAATCCTGAAATAATAGTCATCACAGATTAGTAACAACCACCATTCACCGCAGCATTACATTAACTGAAACATAGATAAGAGAATGTGAGTTTAAAATTTTTTTTCAAAAACTGGTTCCACCGGTCCTTTATACAGGACGCTCGCTCTGATTTCATACATAACATGAAGCCGTCGTAAAAAGTGATTTCCTATCATTCACAGATTGGTTAGGATGTAAAATGCATTTGAACTATATTCCAGAACGTACTGGTACTGAAATAACCTTTAAGAGAAGGAATCTGCCTGTGTTCATAACAGAGCTTTCATGTTTTGTGACAGATTTGTGGTAGTGGTACTGGTGCCAGCGCTTACAAAGTGGCCAGCTGTTTCCAACCTACTTCCTACTAAATTGGTCGTCTTCGTCAAAGTTTCATCTGATTCGAATAATATATTTAGTCTCATGACTAAACATGTAACGGCACACCTAATGACACAGATTCGATGTCAAAGAATCTCCTAATTTGATGAGCAGGAAACATTCTTGTTCGATGAGTTAAGGTGCAAGCTCTCCAAATAAGATTTTAATTAAGAAGCAGACTAGGAGCCAAGCATGGTAAGAGCCGTGGCCAGGTGAAGAAGTTTGCCCGAGAAATTAAGGTCGAGGAAGGGTGAATATACCTGCTACAACTAGATACAGGCCCTATAAGGGTGCAAAACGAAGCAACTTCCGCAGCGAGGGCTGCGCCCAGCGGCCAGCAGAGCCGTACCAGCGGCCTAGCAGAGCCGTTTCAGCAGCGCTCGCGGCTGT